ATGTTAATAATTAAATATAAATAGAACACTTTTCTATTCGAAGACAAAAACGTCATTTGTATGTAAACAGCATACTAATGAGAACTAAGTACTGGTCTAACACAAGTATTCATCTGATGAGAAAAGAAGAAGCATAGTAAAATGTTTATGCTTAGGAAAACAAAAGTCTTGATTGAGAAACGTTTGAATAAAGTTCATCAGCTGATTAAATTATGTAAATTAAGTTTTGCTTTTCTACGAGAATATTAATACCAACGTGAGAGAAATAAGGTTCAATCAATGTTTCATGAAAAACAGTAATACATGATAGATGATAAGTTAGTTCGAATAGTAAAATACAGAAACAAATAACTGAACTACGTAAATAAATACATTGAGAATGAATAACCAAGTTTGAATTATATTATTAATCATATTCGCATATCATGATATACTTACGAATTACACTGGAAATGCCTATGTTTCTTAGAGTGATTCACAGTTATTTCAAACACGATTCAAAATTGAATAACGAAATTCCATCTTTGATTTGTATCAAGACTTACAGAATTCATTACTGCAATCATAGGCAAAAACCTGAATTTCTTGAAGAATGCTGATTTATTTAATTTAGCACAGTTTTCTATTGTATTTTTTGCCATGTCTCAATTTAAACTCAACCTTATTATTTAAATGGTGGTCTACAAATAAGGAAAGTCTCTGCATTGTCTCCGTATCTTTCCTAGCTGTCATCGATTCGACTCTATTTATAAAAAAAAAAGGATTCCTCTTTTATTTCTACGAAAATATGTATGAATAGACATCATAGAAATAAAAGGGCAAAAAAAGATTTGTCTATTATATTACTGTTAGCATGCCACATTAACAACATTCAAACAGCAAATATAGTCATCCTGTATTTATGTTTTGTTAACATCGAAAAACATTGGAACAAGCGTACTGTACATTTTATAGATCTTGGCTATCTGACTGATACGTTTAAAAATTTTCATGAAGAAATGTTATTATTTGTAATAGAAGAGCTAAATAAATATTAATTTATTTCAAATAACATAAATTCGTTATTCTAATCTTAAATAGAAGTAACACTTATTTTATTCAGTTAAGCCTTTCCTACAAAACCTTTTTTGAATATATGAGTCATCGAGCTTAGGAGGCTTCTCAATATTCATAACATTCCTGCAATAATTTTTGTTTTTTTGCTTTTCACCCTATGGTATCCATTCATATATGATTATATAGAGATTCTCATTATTGATTGACCACCTATTTCTATTCAATTGAATCGTAAGTTTCTAGTATTGCGAATCAAAATCAAAGAAAGCAGAATTTTATCCATAGTACGATAGTCAAAATTTGAATTGTATCTTGTATTACAGATAAAATGAAATTTAGTATGTGATAATGTGTAACATTACAACTTTATCAGATTTTCTAACTTGACTTGACAACAATTTCACAGCATTCTCTTGAACTTTATCTTGTTCTTTAAAGAATTCAATTGTAAAAGTTTCATATATTGTTGCCAGATACGTGTAGATCCCCAAATTCTTCTTTGCCATTAAAATATATCAAGAACAGATGATAAGATGATTTTGTGATATTAAAAATATTAGTGTAAAATAAAAGACTGTTATATTCATGTGAAGAAAGATAATGATATAAATTCTAACCTCTCTAAAAGTAAAAAGTTGACGTATGTATAAGGCTCATATCATAAACAGGATTAATATATTGTTTTATTATAAATTTTGTTTGTTTTATTGTAGGAACGTGAAGCTCAATTTGAAAATGAAATGGAAAATGATGAATTTGTATTACCTGGTGAAACCAATAAAGAAATTGGTTTAGCTGCCTTAAAAACTATTGAAAGCCTGAAAGGTGTACGTTTTATTGAAATATGGCCTTATCTATTTATTCTTGTTTATTTGTTTTTCTTAGGCTGAAAGTATTATTGAAGCACTTGATATTTGGCGTGAAGAAAAATTAAAACTTGCTGAACACGAAGCAACACAAAAGGCATTAGGAAAAGAAGTAATTCAAATCTTTTGCTTTTCAAAAGAAATTAATTTTCTTTTCAATTCAGATGCCTTTACCACCACGTCATATTATGTTACAAGCATTAGAATGCCATTATACAGCTGAACGTTTTGTACTTGAAGCATTACGGAAAATTTCAGCAAGGTATACATACACTTAGTTTTGTTTTTTTGTAATCTTATAATTAGATAAAGTTTTTAGTGATTTGGAAGCAGCACTTCTTCTTCTACCATTTGATTATGTTCAAAAATTCTTATCACTCATTATCTATTATCTTGATCGATTTCAATCACCAGAATTATGTGTTAAATGCGCGGTGTTTCTAATCAAGTAAATTCAATTCTATTTTCTGATTATCTATTTCTATTTTCATGCTTTTGCTCTTCAGAATTCATCATGGCCTATTAACATCATCTCATCAATATTTAAATATTGTTGAACAATTAAGAACACGTTGTATGGATACAGTCGAAAAACTACGAGTAGGTTTTTGAAAGAAAAAGTAAAATTTAATGAAAACCTATTGATACTTTTATCTTTATTAAGACTAATGTTGGATTTAATCTAGCTGGTTTAAGATTGATTCGACGTCAAATTGAAGAACAAAATGATGTTATTCTTTTTGCTGATGCAACACAAAAATTAACATCAGGAGAAACAAAAAAACGTAAAAAAGGAAAATCATCAGCTGCTATTTTGACTATCAAAGGAACATCAGCACTTGCTTGATGTTTTCATTGTTTTGTTTGTTGTTATCTTCTAAAGCAAATAATAAAAATTTGTTGAAGATTTTGCCGATGAAATTTTTGATTCTGACTGATAATAATGTTCACCAATTCAAATATCGCTAACTGAACAAAAGATTCTATAAATAACATTGGGAGGCAGTGAAACAATAGCTGACGTTTTCTTTCAAAAGTATATTTAAACATGAAAAACAAATTATACTGTTGATATTATGAACACATGCATATCTTAAGATTACAATAGATGTCGATTCATAAGTTAAAATTTAAATGAATAGCTTCTGTGTTTCCTAGGTATGATAAGTAATCGTCTATGATATAGCGACCTATTGATGACAAAATATTACGAAACATCAAAACGAAAATAACAGAATAATATACATGTTTATATCTATTCATATTAATCATAACAATATCAACGGGAAAAGATTTGAAATTTTATATTTTTGTTTGTCTCTAGCAGACAATATAATCGTAATACTTTCATTGTATTTTTTGTTTATAGGCGAGTGATTTTTGGACAAGAAATTTAGTTATATCAAATGCAAACAGATGAAGGTAGTCGCACTATGCGCGCCTTGAGTTGTTTTATGCTTTAAAAATTGATAAGATCGTTTGGCGGTTGCTTTACCAAGAAAAAATTTAGTAGAAGGTGTGTGTCTCTAGAATAACATGCCTATTTAATTCTATTCCATTAAATTAAGAGAAATGTTTCTATTTTTATCAAACTCATTCTTTATTAGATATCGCTTGTCTCATTACTTTGTTCTGACATTTATTTAATATATCTATGATTAAAATTGTAACAGATTAAGATTTAAATTTACATTTATAACAAGTAGACACGAGTTACAGGCGTAATTCAGGAAAAACTGATATTTCTATCAAAGCATCTCGAATGATGATCAGTTTGTTGAAAAAACTAAAGTTGAAATTGAAATTCCATCGATAATCGAGTCCCGATGACGAAACTCAGTGCTATGATGAAGTCTCACTTAAAAGTCAAATAAGAGTCAAATTAAGCTTGACTCAATCCTAAGAATATGAAATTGAATTCAAATTAATCTCCGGCAAGATAGTCGATTAAAGGCAAATCATTAAATGGCATATCATACATGAAGCTATTAGCGATTTAGAACAAAACGTGAAGCCTTAGGCGAAACTAGAGTGAATTTTTATTGCTTGTGTTATGTGCTTAATTTAATCTTCAAGCAATAATGCTAGTTTTTACTTCGTAAGAATTCTACTGATCGTATTTATATTAATGAATCGTTTCCAAACAGTATAACTGTTTTATTCTTTTCTTTTTTTAAAATTCGTGATAATTCTGTGGTATTCCGAATAATGTTCGGTAATAATTAAGCGTATGAAATACGTAGTAGCCTTGCAAAACTACTGTTGATATTTACATAATAGTATGAAAACTTTAGTTTTAGTCAATTCATGTCAACACGAGTATTGATCGTGTAGAATATCTACCATAATTTGATACCTGGATACCTTGAATGTACTATATTCAGTGAAATGTCATTACTGTAATGCTTATTTTTAGAGAAATTCGATATTCACCTACATAAATTAGTATATTAATGAGAAGTCAAAAATGACCTTGACATTGAAATAGTCGACCTGACATAATATTGAGAAATTTAATAATTCTTTAGAATTATAACTAAACATATAATCGCTTAGTTTTATACATAGACATCGTAGTATAATGACTATTCTATAAACAAAAATTAACAAAAATGACGTAAGCCACAAATTAGCACAAGAATGACAAAAGAAAAGATTTGCGTATGTGTTACTTAGTTAATGCTGTCTTTATATTTGGTCAATTAATAATCTTTGAAATATAATGAATGAACAAAAATAAATAAATAAATAGATTTAATGTTAAATGGTTATGATATTCAAATTAAAATACGTTGTAAAGTATGAAAACATAAAATATTTAATTAATAATTTATCATGTTAATAAAGAACCAAACAAATAAATGTTATTTCCTTCTTTTTAAACGAATACTAGTTATTACAATGATGAATCTGTATAACGAAATGGTGAATTTAGTTTTAATCATCGAGGGCTAAATATGAGTAATATTTCAATTTCTCTCAAGCACACAAATAAAATGAATGAGAACACAAAGAAAAGAAAAGAAAAGAAAAAGAAAGAATTAAAATATAAATCGTGAAGAAAATAAAAATAAAAGTTTATTGATTTTCTGTTTCGCGCCGTCTTCGAACAAAATCTACTGCTACTTTATCCGTTGTTCTTTGTTCCAATATTTCAATAATACGACTGCGTACAACTAAAAGAATATATTTTTCATTTATTTTTCAATGAAAAACGAAATCATTTCTTATTTAACCTTTCGGATGTGTTAATGCTAATTCAATTTGTTTTAATTCATCTATAGCACGATTATCATTATTAATTCCGGTTATTTTCCATATTTCAAGAAATGCTTCGCCTTCAAAATCATTTGACCACATTAAATCATGATCCATCACAATGAAATGTACGATTCCTCCGGATAGATTACATTCTTTTTCTGTTAATCGACTATAAAAAAAGAAAACAAAATAACTTATTAAAAAGATTTTTTTTTGCTGATAATTTACAATTCAAATTTTTCATTAAATTGTGGATTAAGAGTCTTTTTTATAACTGTTGTTTGTTGCTTTTCAATATGAGGATATAAAAAATTTGGACACAGCTGTAATTCAACATATGGATCACTAAAATAAAATAATTTTCTTTCCATTTCTTTTCTTTTCTTATTTTAATTTACCTTAAACCATTAGAATCACATGGTCTTAATTTTTTACATGAGATAACTTAAACAAAATAAATAAGAAAAACTCAGATAAAATAAATGAATAAATGAATAAAGCCTACTTTCAATGTATAAGGTTTCCTCTTTTGCATGATAATAAGCTCGGCAATAAAGTTTCCCTAGATCTGATTGATTTGAACTATTAGCACGATCTTGCTCTTGAACCTTTTCCTGTGTAGAAATAAAATTTATTATTTTATTAAAATATTTATCTAGCTAATTTACTTGATAATATAGTTTAATTAAGGATTGCGTATCTATCGATTGATACTTGAGTAACTTTTTTACCAACTAAAATGTAAACGAACATAAAAATTGTAGAAAAAATGAATTCATATTGCTTTTTATTTTGTGTTTACTCTATATTTTTCAGTTTTGAGCATATCCTTTGATAGATAATGTGTTTCATTATTAAAATAATCAACAAGACCATCGAGAGCTCTTAATAGACGTGTATACGATGCGATTGATTTCTAGATGTTTTAAAATATGTTTTTGTTGTGAATTCATATCAATGAAATTGATTTTTACTTACTGGCGATGTTACATCTTCGACTTCGCATAGAACTTGATCGATTAATACAGCCCATATAAGTTCTAATAATCTAAATTGATGTAGATTCGATGTTTTAAAAACTTTTCAATATAATTTCACGTTAGCAAAACATATTTATTTAGGAAAGACTCGTTTTTAAGGGGAACTTTGAAGGAAGTTTTGTTTTATCTCTAAATACGTCTAGCATGAGAGTAGAAGAAATGCAGAAAAGTGTTAGAAGTTAAAAGTCAGAAATTTTAATCTAATCACTTCATCTATTGGATTTCGATCGAGAATGAACGATATCAGAGATCGGAATGATTGATTCTAAGTGTTAGTCGATGTTAGACTTCTAAGAGTTAAAATAAGAATAGCTGCATTCATACATATGATGTGTAAAAACCTTTATTTTCTCTCTCGAAAAATATGAAATAATACCTTGTTACATTTTGTCTAATTAAATATTCTGTATAAGGTAATAATTGATTATCGAGAAAAGTAAATAATGGTTGAATAGTATCTTGAGCATTACTAGCTTCAGGTGCTTCGACAATATGAAACAAATATTGTTTTAATTCCATTTCCATATTTGTAATAACTTTACTTAGAATTCGATAAATTCTATCAGTTATATCTTGACTACAAATAGCAACAGTTGTTTCAATTTTTTTTCTATATTCATCAACAACAGCAATAGGATGAAATTTTTCTGCTGCAACTAATAATTTATCATAGGATAATTCAATTGGTAATGCTTTAAATGATTCTCGTATACGTTCAATATTATTTACAGTTAGAGAAAGCTAAAATAGAATATTAGAGAAAAAATATTTAAAAAACAAACAGTATTTTGTTTTATTTACTTCTTGTGTATAAAAACTTAAATCATTAGTGTCATAGAACTTTTTAGCATTTAATTTTTCTTCCATTAATATGGCGTAAAGACGAGTTGCGTTTGCTGAATCTTCGGTCATTTTGATTAAATATACGATTGAACCAAGAATATCAGGCCAAGCTAAAGTTATCAAAACGAAAAGAAAATTATCTTTTTATTTGCAAAATTTTAAAATGTTTTTAATTTAACCTAATCGTCTCCAAAATTGTGTCATTTGTGTAAAACAATTCGAAATATCTAATGATGATGATGTAAATTTATTATTTGTAGTTGCTGATAAAGATGTTTCGACTTGATCCTTATCAAGAAAATATTCAATACGATGAAGAAGTTTATTACGAGCTATTGATAACCACTTTTTCAAGGCTACACCGAAATACATATAATATTGATTAATTTTTAAATTTGATCGATGACTAAATTTGATTTTACTATTTTAAAGAAAGAAAAAATTAAGAATTAAAATATACCTTTCATTAACATAGATCTTGTATTTTGAAAGTTCATTAAGAGTTAAATAAAGTTCAAATAAAGATAAGCTTGTTTGTTCAGCTGCAAAAGCAAATGCAGTTATATCAGCAGAATCAGGTTCAATGTTTTCAAATAATTTTAAAGGAGATTGATATATTTGTTCACCAAGCTAAAAATAACATTTATTTTTATTACAAAACAAAATTCATTAATCGACTTACTTCTTCTTCGAGTGCTTTTATAATTATATTCATGAGCTAAGTTTAAAATTAGGAAAAAGTTTTGAATATAAATTAAAAGAAATAAGACATACTTTGGCATCAATTTTCTTGAATGATATATGATAAAAAGCAAGTTTAACCGTACTAAAAATATTATATTTAATATTTTATTTTGTTAACGAATCAATGAATCAATCAACATACGACTCAAATATTGGATTGTAATATTTAACAGCCGAATGAGCTAAAATAAGCAATATAGTATAACAGATAGTTTTATGAATATTATCGAAATTCTTTTTATATCGTATGCAATCTAATTAGATTACTATATATTCACAAGGGAAGTACTGCAAATGATTTCGATCCTTTTCAATTCTCTCTTTTGATTGTAATTAAATAGATATCAGTGAGATTGAGAACAAAACTACCTAAAAAGTGTTCAAATTGATGAAAGTTTAGGTCTGAAATATAATTCTCATTTTGCTTTAATAAAGCAAAAGGGCTTTATTAGTTTTTTCAAATTATTACTGAAATATTATTTTAATAAACTTGATCATGAAATCTAAAATCTTTTATAGTGATAAATTCAATGTCGCCTACGGCTTTTTCTCATATATCAATAAAGAAAATCAAAGAAGACGATAACTGAAGTAGAGATGCAAAAAAATGAATTATTAGGATGAATAGTTCAAATGTTTTAAACAAAATATTCAAATAGTATTTCGACATCTTTCCATGTCATGTATGCTGAAAAAGATCTAAGTTTTAATAAAAATGAAACATTTCGAGATGATTTATCTAGTTATTCCGTTGCGAACCGTCTCAGTTCATCGACGTCGAAAGAGAAAAAAATATGACTACTTATGCTTAAATAAATCATATTGTTCAGATCTACTGTTTTAATTAAAATCGATTTAGTATTATAAGAATAAAATATAAATAGTAATTTCAAATACGTCAAAGCTTTGTAATGAGTTTTATCGTCTTAATATCAATTATATTTCTGAAATGAAACAAATAATTATGCACAATATTGTTAAAGTTTTTTTTTCACATCAGTAGTACTTACGAGGGAATATTCCCAAGTGATCCGCATCATTTGGTCTAATATTTTGCTCATAGGAATGATTCAATGAGATTAGGAAACGCCTAAAAGATTTCGTGCCATTAGATCTTTCTTTCAAAGTTATGACTCTTTTACTAAATTTTCGACCTTGGTCACGGAATTTATAGAAACTCTATATGAAGGAATTTCGAACTAAAATTTTGTATAACAATAAGTCTCATTGGTGTTAGAAAATTGTAAAACTTTCAGTTAAAACTGATGCTTTCCTTTAGAGATATTGCAGATTGAAGTAAACGGTCATGGTCCAAAAATTATCGTAAAATTGACTTTTCTTCAATCTGCAATATCCCTAAAAGAAAGCATCAGTTTTCACTGAAACTTTTGGAACGTTCTAACATCGATGAGACCTATTGTTAGGAAAAATTTCAGTTCGAAATTCCTTCATACAGTTTTTCTATAAATTCCGTGACCCAGGTCGAAAATTTAGTAAAAAAGTGATAACTTTGAAAGAAAGATCTAATGGCACGAAATCTTTTAGGCTTTTCCTAATCTCATTCGATCATTCCTATGAGCAAAATATTAGACCAAACGGTGCGAATCACTTGGGAATGTTTCCTCGTTAGTTGTCATGAAAATGCAAAGTCTAATGGTCGAAATGACTCCGAAATATTATCTTCGATGAAAATAACACTGAAAAGCGGAGAATATTTCTTCTAAAAAATGATTCGATAGATATGCAATAAAAGTTTTAAAGGAAAGATTCTATTTGCCAAACACTATTCATTTAACTATAATCCATTGTGAAATGAATCAATATCAATTTATATTTAGTTTCGTCTTAATCTTATTCTCCTTATTTAACATTAAGATAAGTACTACTGCGTTATGATAAATTTTTTATCATTGCTATTTAAAAAATAAAATATCGTTTCTTACCGTCAGCAATCAACACATAGACTAATTCACTTGTATTTCGCAATATATCTTCATCCGACTGAAAGGAAAAAAAGGATATTTTTCAACATAATTTTAATAAAGTTTTACTCGTAGTCTCGGTTTTGTTATATTTGTAACCATACGATCAAACCATTCCATGGTTCCAGCCTTAAAAAAGAATAGAACAAGATCAATAAAATGAATATTTTCTATTTCGTACCGTTATAATTAGTGATAGTTCATGTTGAAGACTATTTTGAAATGGACAACAATAACGAAATACTTCCATACTATGTAATTTAGCAACGATTCTAAAAAAAGAAATAAAGTTTTAAAAACACATAAATAAACAAAACTTAAGAGAATTCTAATTTTTACGTTAGAAGTTGTTCGAGTCGTTCCATTGCAGTTCTATTAGCAGCTGGGAAAAGTTCTCGAAGTTTTGCTAATTGTTTAAAACAATGATTTATAAATAATGTAAAGCCTTCTCTTAACATATCACTCTCATCTCGACTTAATGAAGTTGGTTGCCATGCTTGTTCTAATTGTTCAGTTATTGATAATAATAATTTATGTGTTAATGTGCGTTCTAGATGTTTTTTTGAGTATGCTATCCAACGACACATTTTCCGTTGAATGTCTGTTATGTCACCTTGAATCGCATGCTGATGTAAAATTGTTTCAGCATCGCGTGATAATGTGCCTGACCATTTCGTTGTTTCGCCCTGAAATCGATAAACAATTTACAGAAAATTGTTTTTGTAGTATGAAAAATGTTCTCTGATGATTTTAGCGTTTTCATTGCGTGCTGTTATCTGTGCAATCTGTGCAGAAGATATTTAAAAATAATTTTTCCACCACTTATAAATCTCAAGTTAAAACATATAAATATCTTTTTGCTCTTTTAAGTCTTTAGTTATTCAAGAAGATAAAAATACATATTCTTGGTCTCAAGTACGTTTCATTACTTTCTTAAAGTAATGTCATCGAGACATATATTTTATGTGCTCTTCATGTTTCATACTACTACACTTTAATTTTAAATCTAGAAGTCTCTCTCTCTCTCTATATATATATATATATGAAATTTTTTCGTAAATATCACCAGCTGATTAATAATTAACTATTCTTATATTTTAAACTATGATTAATATGTTTAATTAAACATAAAAGCCTAGATTACAGCAGTAACAGAATTAATTCAGTGATATTCATTGTCGCTAGTAGTTAATAACTGAATAATTAAGACAAAGTATTTTTCTGCGATAGCTACACTCGACAAACGAATTGAAATCATAAATATTCTTATATCAAATCGAGTAAATTTATATCGATTAAAACAATAAATAGCGTATTAATGGTAAAGCATAAAATCGTTCATACACGGATATTCTTTAGTTGAGTATTCTCAAAAAAACAGAATTATTAAAAAAAATGGTATAGACTTTAGATCATTTCTCATTTCCTAGAAAAATCTGAAATGTTCAAAGGAATATAATCAAATTTTGTTTTAAAAGCAACTATTTTCTATATGAGATTCATGTGTCAGCACAGAATATTTTTGATTGAGTTGCAAAGCAGATTTTTTCCACATTCCGTCATTGCATTAGTTTATGGAAGTCAGCTAATCTTAGCGAAAAAAAAGGAAGCGAATATAATCTAGACATTAGACATATATGTCAAAGCTAAATTAAATTCTGACATATTCTGTCGTATAATATGATATCAAATGTCAAAGAATACTGAACCTTAAATCTTTTCAATTCATGATCAATAAAGATTTGTAACAGTTCCACATGTTGTTTAATATCGGTCCAATTATCTTCTTCAGATACTCCACGATCTTCACGTGTCGCTAAACTAGCGCGGACATGAATTTGACCATGAACTTTAGAATTTTCACTTCGACCTTCAAGTGAAAACCATTTATCGATTCCTGTTGATGGAATTTCCTATAGAAAATATCAAATCGGTCAAAATAATAAAACGAAAGACGATTCTAATTTTGAGACATACATCAATTTTTAAATTAACTGAACCTAGAAAATCATCAACATTTGAACTTTCATTAGAATTTGTTCTTGCTGATTGAGCAATTTGCTTAAAATATCTGTTTAATCCTTTAAAACCTTGAACTTGATTGAGTTTTCTTGCGGCTTCAAATACAGAAAATTCATCATCATGATCCCATATATCCAAATGAAATGTTTCAGTTTTACTACTTTCAATATTACTGAAATGAAAATGAAAATGAATCAATAATAGGTTTGTTGTTTTTTTTTTGTACAAATGCAACTTTTAAAAACTTACAAACGAAATTTTTCCATCCAAATTGGATTCAATGTAGCTTTTTTTACGTCCGTTGTCTGAATATATTTTGCAGGAAGTTTATCTCTCAAACTGCAATTGTTTTGTGGGCTTGTACTTGTTGTTGACACGGTCTTTTCTCTTCCTTGAGATCGACGAATTGTTGATTTACGAAAACTTTTTAGACGTTTCATAAAACCAAGTTTACTATCACTTGATCCTTCTTCATCCGATGATACACCAGTAGCACTTGTCTGTTGTCGGAGACCGAATGTCTTAACTTCTGGTACAATGCCCAACATGCAATAAGGATCAGAGAATCCTATTTGTCATGTTAAAATAAAAAATTTGATCTGTTTAATAAATTAATAATCTTACCATTTGCATCTTTGGCTTCGAGATCTTTAGCTTCAACGATTTCGATATTTAAAATTAAAATTGGTGGCTAAATAATTAAATCATTACAATAGTTATTTTAACTTATATACTGACCTTTTCTTCGCTTGCTTTATTCAATAAACGTTGATGATCTCCCGCTAATAAACCGAACGCCTCTTGTGCATAGGAATAGAGATCATTTTCTCCTTCACTGTGTGTTGATGTTGTCGTACCAATTTTATGTTTTATTGTATATAATGTTTCAATATAAAGTAGTTCATATTCTTTTGATGTTATACCTTCGGGTTTTTCTCCAAAAGTTATTCGATATTCAGGAGGCATTTTTTCATTTTCCATTTCTTCCTTTAAAAGAAAAATTTAAAATAAATAAATGAATGATAAAAGAAAGTTATTATTTCTTATTAAATTACATCTTTCTTAATTTTTTGTCGACGTTTTTCATGTTTTTGTGCAACTTCTTCAAAGTTTTCAAGAAACAACTTATCATTGTCATTTTCGTACCTAATTAAGTGAAAATATATTTAAAAAATTGATTGGAAAATAAACAAATAAGAAACAATACGATTCTATTTTCAATATACCTTTTAGTCAAAACTGCAAAAAATTTCGATTCTTGACGAGATGAAACAAGCATTGTTCACATAGGAGTCAAAATAACCTTTTCTGAAGATTATTGACTAGGACACGTTAACGAACGATATAAAAAAAAGAAAAAAGTTTCCTTTTTTTCCCCTATCTCATTTTCCATCGTTTTCTTTCGTTCCAATCTGTTATTATTGCATGCTACGAGAAAAAAGAATCGAGAAGCATACGTGAAAGCACAAGCGTTTTCTCTAGTTTCTTCATGAATAAAAGAACAAGAAATAAATAAATATGATATGGGTAAGGTTCTGTCAATTGACAAACAACTTGTGGGAATTAATGGGTTTTAATTGAAATTAATCATAAAGAGACGAAATAGCAGCTCTATCTATTGTAACCAATACAATGGCAATAAACATAAAATTGATAATTATTTGTTTTCATTCGGTAAGCCGCATCAGTATACATGCATAATAAACCTTTCAAGTGCCTAATATAATAGGATAGCGTTTTGTTATCATTAATTCATTTGAAAATATATGAATGAAACTTTCAAGTAATATTGCAAGTTTTTCTTCTATTTTTTTTTGATATTCCATTTCTTTTGGATATAGCATCTAAGAAAACTTTCCGCTTTTTATTAGCTTCATAAATAAGGAGTATGCGTCTCGAAAATTAATGGTTAGAATAAAACTAGTGCACTTTCAGTAATGTATCTGTTTTTCTACATGAACACAATGAGAAAAACAAATTATTCTTAGTTTTATATGTTTCAATGAACATTTGAACATATTAGAAAAAAAAGCAAGTAATCGAACCTATTTAAATAACTTGACATCATTGGTGACAGATTTTGTTGCTGTTGTGCTTGTCTGACAACATCAAAAATCGATGTCGTCGTTGGTCGCGTACTTCTAGTTGGACTAATATTGCTCATTGCGTATTCTTCAACGAGCACTGACACTATCTATCATTTCTAAATGTATGCTGCCTACCATTAATGCCAATATGTAAGCATGAAGAGAAAGAACAAAAAAAAAGGAATGACGGGCGAAATTAATTTCCAACGGAACTAGTTTTCCCTTTTATTTCTCATTGGAATAGTTGACAAAAAAAAATATAAAATATTCTTTTTTCTCTTTCACGTGTGTATGTTTCTCAACGCCCGTTCTTTTTTCCCTTCATCATATTAATGAAACTTCGATAGAAAGCAAATCACATCGCACAATATACTGAAAGGACTTAGTGAAGAAAAGAAAAACGACAGAAGGCTATTTTCTCAGATATTAACAGACAAAATAAAGAAAAGTCATGATAGACTATGAGATATTTTTCATAGAAGCCAATATAAAAAGAAAATAGAAGAGTAATTTCTTATTCAACAAAACGATCAATTTTCCAGATTGCATTTCTAGGTTTAACATTCAAATGAGCTAATTCATATCATTGAAAGAGAATCATTGAAAAAAAATTTTTTTTGTACTTTTTTTTATTGATCAACAATTTTTATTAGTCAAAGAAAATCATTTTGTAAAATATCATTCATGGATTCGTGTTTTAGTAACTTTTTGATACTGGATGTTAGCTTGTTGAAGTTGCTTGAGGCAATAAATCTTTTGAAATAAAATCTACTTTTCCCATAGGAAAATCCCAAGATTATCATTCATCTTGTGTCTGTGTTTTTTTTGCTACCTTCAATTATTTGAAAGGTCTTACTTCTTTTGTTTCTTTTTTTTTTGGTTTGGAGAACATCATTTACTTTGCTCGACTAACTTGTGCTGTAACTAGAGCTGTCTTATTACTATAAATGAGATGCCGGAAATTCTAAAGTTTCATTAAAAAAAAACAAGGTTTTTCTTCTTCTATGGTCATTCAGAGTATGTTAGGTTAAACATCAAAGACTGATTTGTAAACTTTTCAAGAGAAGATTTTCCTGACAATCGAGAAAAGGTTTAACTTTTATTAAAGAAATATTCTATTCTTACATTTATGTGAGTATGTCTCATTATTCTTGACTTTTCATTGTGTGATGTCTCGTAAACGTTTTATTAGAATTTGCGCAGTAGACTTAAGAAAAACAAAATATTTTTCGATATTTTTTTCTATTGAAATTAATTCATGATATTCTATTAGCGTAAAGTTGAAAATATTTTCAATTCTTATACTTGCGTCGCTCGTTAACAGGTTTCAGATGGTTTAGTCGTAGAGATTTATTATGGCAGAATAGACTTTCGATTAGTAACCATTTAAGTATTAAATATCAGCAATCTAATCAGAATTGATATAAATATTAGAGTTCAAAATGTTAACTATTTAATAGTTGTACTTAATCTTACTTTTATTTCTAAGATACAATCGTAAGAATGCATTAAACGTGACGCTAATTCCTATGTCGACATAAGATTTCTGTAATAATTAGCTCGATTTATTCGATATTGCAAGAATAAAACTATAGAAGAGAAATATTTTTTTCTTCTACGGTGGTACATGATAGGTTGGTCAAGATTTTTTTTCACAGTATCTCGATCTAACATGCTCATTTTTTATGATATACTAATTATGTTAGACTCTAGAAAAAGAAACTCTCTTCAACTTAAACATGTTTATAAATTTGCCAGGGGTCATAAAAAAACGTAGTAGGCATGTTTAAAATCAGAAGAGCACTGATATAAATCAGTTGCTCGTTAAAATTATTATCAAGTTCTTTTTCAAATTTTAGTTTCTGTAATCTTTGATCTTTTGAAAGATTAAAAATTTTTATGGCTTTGACTTTTAATTATTATATTAATAATTAAGTTTTGAAATAGTTTTCATACGTAATCGTATCCCATAGACAGTTTCTTGGATACTATCTAAAACTATTGAAAATAGTACTCTGCAAATAAAGATCATTCTACTTGAAATAATTTTTTCAACGTAGCAACACTGATATTTTTTTGTTCTGTACCAACACTGAAGTATATTACTTTATTCTTGAATAAATAGTGTGAAGTTATCATTTTTGTTTTATAGAATATATGATCGACAGCGTTTTCTAATAGACAATTGGCACATCTTCTCCAGTTGACAAATATTTCTGCTTTCAACATAGAAAGAAATAAGCAAATCGAATTTTTCTTTTTAGTCATTAGGATCATTTTGAAGCGTTAAACTACTCTACTATACAGGATCGGCGCACTTCGAAGACAGAACTTTGTACAAGACATGAACCATCTTTCAAAAGAAATTAACAAAATTGACCATGCGTAATGCATGTGCATCGAAGTATGAAAAAGAAAAGCAATTAATAACGGAAAATGTTGTACTCCTAATTATAACTTACATTCTAATTAATATACTTTCAATTTACTTCTACTCAGAAATAAATAATTTCCTAATATGATTAATATATTGACAATGTCAATGACCATTCATATTTCAAAATATCAATCATCAAACTGAACGGTTGACTCGGCTCAATAGTAACGTGTTACGCACGTAAAAAATCATTACGAGAGAGAGAGAGGGAGAATTCAATTGAAGACTACTCGCTGAGTTTTTAAGACAAATAAAGATGAGTGCTTTTGGTTGTAAGCGTTACAAATTTTCCCGTTCTGGATGATAATTATAGCACCAATCTTAACATCTTTTAGCTAAAATAAACTGAAATAGGTTGTACGTCAGAAAAGAGAAAAGGGAAAAAATAACAATCGCATTCTTACATGACTCTTCCGCTTCCATGATTTCATAATTTCTGACGTTATTTCAATCTAAGTCTTCCATGTGTCGATGTTTCTAGTATACCTTTAACAGTATGATCATAGAAATGAAATCTATTTAATTCTCAGAAAACAAGATGATTTTTATGTATTATGTACTGCTAAGATCTTATTGTCCTTTATACAATAGTAGAGAAAATGTATCTATATTTTCTTTTTATTAACCATAAAAAAAAACAGGAATTGATTTCTTTGACTTTTAACAAAACGGTTTTCCTTTAGAAACCTCTTCAATAATCAAGAAAAAGTATAGAATTAGTTCAATGTATATATATATATATACTTAAATGAAGTCATATTTCATAAAAATATCAAGTTGTTGTACAGTTCAAGTTATGAAATAGTTTTCAAAGTAAAAAACAAGAAGAGTTTATGGTTAGTAAACAGAAAATTTAATATTCAGTAACACGTATTTCAACCTTTTTTTTCTATTTGATTAACTTACTTGCAAAGTACTGCATCCGACCATCGTCGACCGCGCATATGAATCTTGGCCATCTAGAGAAATATTAGTCTCAACACAGGAATCTGTACTTCGTTAAAAGTATCGTTGTTTATTCTAACTTGTACTTTGCCACTTAAATGCATTTTGCTTTTTATTCTCGTCCTCTTTTCCAACATCAAACATTCTTTCTTGCGCTTGCTCTAATGCTAGATCTTTATCTTTTATGAGCGGTATGATTTTGTCGTTCTCCTTGTCTTGAAAAAAGAAAAATTACAGAAAGACATGACGTCCGACGGGAACAAGCAGGAAAAAAGAAAATAAGAGAATTTCCGCTCTTGTTATTTTTAAACATAGCACATTGATAATAGATTTATATCAATATTTTAATATATACATGTAGAGAAATATATGTAGTTTTCGTTTCACATATTTAGGTGATAATCATAAGAAAGTATGCTAGAATTTAATATTTTTGTTTCAACTTTCAATACAAACATGAACAACATTGATGAGAATTAGAAAAGATTTGGTGATCACTCTTTGAACATGACATTTTGCATGAAATAAATGTTCGAGTACTTGTTAATTGGATACTAGAAAAAAGAAAACAAAATAGAAATTATCTTTACCGCTTATGTGCCTGTCGTTTTATGCCACAAAGATTTTTAATGATGTCAGATTTTAGATCGGAAGAAACTAATTGTTGAATTCCTTTCAAAAGCAATATTTGTTTATCAAGGAAATAAAACGAGCAAAAAAATAGAATATCAATTAGAAATAAAGAGAACAATGTTTTTTTATTAACGCAGTAAAAGAAAACTTTTCTTTATTCGTCTAGGAAAAATTGAATAACATCTATATAATTCAATCTCTTATAATAATATCTCCTAAAGAAAAATAAACACAATGGATTCAAAATAGCAAATCAATTAGAGAACTTTGAACATACATATATTTATTCATCTTATCACTATGTTGGACATCTAATTTTGTCTAAAACTACGGTAATTCTTTTCTTTAATAATCGTAGTCAATCAAAATTAAGCATAATAATGAAAATAGGAAAAAAATATGTACAAATATTTGAAGTTCTTTGTTAATGTACTACACTATTTGTTGTGTTTTTATTTTTCGTGTGGCATTGAATATGATGATTTATGTTGATGGGAAACCCATTTGACTCGCATGATATACTACTTTTGAGTAATTGTTCAGTGGTAAAAATAATTTCATTTCCTTTTCTTGATCGTGTATCATAACCATATTTATTTTCTAATTCTTTTTGAAAATCACGAACTTGAATATAGTCATTGTGAAACATTAATGCTTGACGATAAATTTCATGAATACCTTCTTTAGATGCTTTTAAGCGCATAGAATTTCTTTCAGTTTCTGTTAAAATTGAAATCGTCGATAAGATTTGATTCCATTGTTTTGCTAATCTTGCATCCGTATTTTCTCGAAATGCTTCATCCTTTGAACAAATAACTGAATGCTGAAATTTTTCAATTTTACATATTACACGTCGCGAAATATGTTTCAGATATTTTCCAGAATCTAGCAAATAAAGAATAAAATTAATAAGAAAAATATTCAATCACATCTGTGTAGGCAAAATCTATCACACATAATTTTCTTATCAATAGTTGCTGTGTTTTAGACTAGGAAAAAGCCGATGACTATTTCATTTCGTTTCAATCACAACTATGTGCAACATATGATTCAAATAAGATATGAACATCTTGAATAAATTCGAAATTGTTAACTTGCTGACGTGAAGATATTGAATCGAGTGCTTATTTTGCTCTTTTTAGTTAATTCTGTCTCCTCTCGGAAAAACTAAGGAAACTAATGTGATGTTTGAATTGCAACTTGAAACTTTGTGTAAAGCCAACCTTGGAAAAGATTCAATTATAAAAGTTTCAGATCTTTTTATCGATTCTATCGTCAAATATGCTAGTGTTAACACGTTTTCTTTTACGTTACTCAAATAAATAGACAAAGTCAATGGATGTATATCAGATGAAAAGTAAACAAAAACACTTGAAACTTTCACGATAAACCCTATGGATTAAGACTTAGCGCTGTCAAAAAATTAGAAATTCCAATTTTGAAGATCAGGTTTTCCGGTGTTTCTTGACAGTGATAGCGAGGATGTTAATTTGAGATAAATCATTAAAATTAGGCATTTCTTCGCTAATGAGTAAAGGATCCTAAATTTTGTCGGAACCTTCTTAGTAAATTAGGCTCTTCGTGTTACAAGTAGTTTTAGTTCAAAAATGATCAGTCAATTGAATGTCTTCTTTCGTAAACATCACGAGTAGACGAGACTTGGATAGGCGAATATCGATTGCATGACACACTTTTAATACTCGATCTGTGAGAGTTGAGCAATAATTCTTAAAGAAAAAGAGTCCACTCGAAAAAAGAGCTACCATACAAGTGAGTCAATCTTTAAAAACCGAGTTATATTTTGCATGTTACCATGAAGACATCATATATAATGCAATAGTCATCTATTTTATCATAATAAAAGTAATGTCTATTCTAGTTAATAAATTATTAGGTACAAGTCTTTGGTCCAATGGAGAACTATATGTTTTCTTTTAATGTTTTATATAGACTCTTTTTTTCTTTCAATTCTTAATCAAAATTTATTCAGTATTATACTTGATAAAACAGAATCCATAAAACTTACGTCCGACGTAATGTTTGAATTTTTGAAGACCAAACTCTTCAGGTTTGATATAAATTCTATCACCATAATATGGATCTGATTCATTTTGATATAAATCTTTTAATTTTCCAAATAAAATATGACCAAAACCATTCGGCATACAACCAAATGTAACGTCCATTCCACTAAAATGAAATCAATGCACTATAATTTCTTTGTTTTTTCTTCGACGTAAAGTTCAACATACTATGCTGGATAAGTTGTTGTTCGTTGTGCTTTTGAAATTCCTCGTTCTCGAAAATGTGAAGATTCATCGCCACGAACATAAATAAAAGCATGTGGAACTGATTGATTTAATTTTTTCAGATGAAATAATGATTTAAGAGAACTAACTGCAAAATGCTTTAAACGTTTAAAATAGCCTGAACGATGCTCTTCACTGCCATGTTTTTGTGCATCTTTTGCCATCATCAACTGATTAAAAAATTGCTTTGTTGAATCATATAAAACAAACATACCTTTCAACAACGATAAATAGATTTTATTTGATATCAAGCTATTTATTATAGAAAAACACCTTTCGAAAATGTTATTGGTCGCCCATTAAGTACAGCTTCTTGCATAAAAAAATGCATCAAAGAACAAATATTATTTTCATTTACATCTTTATAAGATTCATTATTGAGAATTAGTTTTGCGAAAAATTCTCGGCCATGATTTGCATTTGTTGCATTAATATTTAATTTAGCTAATATACAACATGTATCATTTGAATTGAATGTCAGTTTATGTCTTTTTATTGGCCAACTGGATGTATATACAATAAAACTTAATAAGAAAAATGTTAGTAGATAGTGCATGATGATGAAATCGATAAAATGATGAGAGAAAAAAAAATGAATGACATATAACGTATTGTTCGTTGTTATTTTTTCATGATCATCAATGAAATGGCAAATTTTGCACTTTGCACTTTGGTGTAAATAATACAAGTATACTCAAGCAGATTGTTCATATATTACTTAGGAATTTCGTTTTGATGTAGATAAATCATTGTTTGATAAGAAGATTCTTTGATGTGATTCAAACTTTACTGATAAGATCTTTTTAATGAATTTATCTTCAAATTAATATTTTAATTGATAACAAATAATTCTAGGGCGAAAACGTCTTCAGTGTTGTAATTGAATATAGTTACGATCATTTTTTTCAAACAATGTAACCGATATTTTGTTGCTTTTATCGATTTTTATTTTAGTCAAGTTACTATCTGCACCAAGTAAAATATTATCAAGATTTTTTCTTTGCTGCTTCAATATATTATATCGGTGCAAAGTCAGTTTCTATTGAATATTCAATACTATCAACGGTTAAGAATTATATAAATGATCTAAAAACAAAACAATTATAGCGTAATCCTCGATTTCTATCTGAACTTGTATGATAAGCAATTTTTGTTAACTCATCTTTGCCAATGTTATATAGAAATACCGTGAATCGGTTGTATACTGTTGGCTTATGTTCTTTTGACAAATAGGGATGACGACCATCTCGTCATCGGTGATTACATCTAGATACATACTCTCACTCACTGTATACATGAAATTTGACGATTTCTTGATGACTGATAAATAATAATCTTGATTATATGAGAGAAAGTTAGAATAAGTTGAGTCTAGAGTTTGTAGACTGATTCAATTTTTTGTAAATAAAACCATGATGACTTAATTTTGCCAAGTATGTGTACTGTATCGGTTATAATTACTATAAAAACCGACACCTTTAGGCGTTAGTTTCAAAGGGTCGATATAAACTGACAAAGAAAATCAAGCATAAAATCTGTTCCAACGTATCAAGCTGTACCTTTTTTCAAGTATTCATACATTGTATTATAGACAAGCCATAGCTAACTCGAAATTCATAGGTAACAATTAAAGAGAATAATCTATATTGTACTATTTTCATTCTAGAATGCAGCAAGTTTTTGGTAAATATCTTTCATTACTTGTTAGAAGAATATAATTTACATAATCTTGCTTTTATCAAATATATCTTTTGCTTGTTCACTGTCGAAGCCATTTCTCATCAATTGATAAACATGTTGCGTGGTGCCACTTAGATTATTATGAAGATAAAAAAGTGAGTCATATAGAGCTTAGTTTTACTCGGATGTGTATACAACTAGACACAAAAAAGATGATCGATTGAACTCACGACTTATAATGTGGTGCGACATCAGGAAAATTCATCCTTGCTTGTCGACAATAATTGAAAATTCCTCACCGTATAGAAAAGTTTACATAATTAAGTATCATTACTAGAAAGATCATGAGTGTGTACACATGCTCTCATATGAGAAAGAGCGAAAACACGGAGATGGGTGAGTCAGGCTTTTTTTACCCAAGTCAAGTCAAGCCCAGTCATTCCCAAGAAATAGAGGTGCTTAAGTCAAGTCATAAGTTCAAAGGAGCCATTTTCAACCGAAGTCAAGTCAAGTCTCGAGTCAACAGTCTTGTTTCAGTCAAGTCGTACACTTGATATTACATTAAAAAATTTTAATTTAATTCTACATCAATTTATTGAAAAAGATTTTTAAATTAGTCCATGATTACATTTTTAACATTGTTAGCATTTGTAATGTCTTTCTTGACATTTGCGATCTATGTGGTCGAAATATAAAACCTCTTTGAGAGAATCTAATATGCATTATCGTTAGTAAAAGACGCCTGACTTGACTTGCATTTCTCAGCAATGTACAAGTCAAGTCTTCGAGTCATCAAAAGATTGCTCAAGTTAAGTCAAAGCCAGTCAATAATGACTTGGCTTGATTTGGAATTAAGTCATTTTTGACTTGACTCGCCCATCTCTGCGAAAGCAAATGGGAAATATTTGGTATCTTCATTGTCATGAAGCGCTGCGCAGTGAACTTGACACAAGAAGTAGATATCGACAGAGTTTGCACGACCTATTGTCTATTTTCAATTGGAATTGTATTAGCGATCCAGATAGGACCATGATCGAGCGTTTCAAGCTTGGTCTCGCCTTGAGAATCTAAAAACATTTCAACCCAGGTCGAACAATCCGGCCACCGGATCCCGTATGATACTCCAGGAAATATGCTGGAAAGTCACCATATCCTGCAGGAAAAAACGGGAAATCGCTGGAACATGGAAGCAGTATTCCGGTCAAAAATACGGCCGGACTCTTCCACCGGATTTCTGCCAAGTTCCGGCGCTTTCCGGCAGGAATTGATCGAAAATCACCGGAAAAATGCGAAAATTTTCCAACCGGAATACTGCTTCCACAAAATCAACGGAGCTACTCGGAGCCGGTCGTTTCCAGGCCGGACTCTTCGACCTGGGAAGAAATCATCGGTTCATAGGCAACGCAAAGGAATCCAGAAGAAACATACGAACGACCCATTTGTGTACTTTTCTTTTCAGTCTCAATCAATCTTACTTTCATGTTGTGTCCAAGCTTTAAATCGTCTAGAAAAAATAACGCTTCAGTCTCTGTGGATGTCCGTGCCTGTTTTAAACACAAGTTTAATAGTATATTGTTTCAGTAAATTCGAATATAAAATTGGAAAATCAGGATATATTGTTTATTACAGATAGGTTTACTGCGTAGCACGCCTTTGAACGTTCCATTCATAATAGAATAATCCAGTATTATTATAATACTAACTGAAACAATCGTGAAAGTAAAAAATATGTTTGGTTACTTAATAAGACAATCTTACGATCTTTAAGATGCCTAAGAAAATTTGGAATGTATTTTTTATTATCTTCTACTTTCTAGAATATATATAATTGATACCGGCTTTCTAAAAAAAGTCAATTTTTATGTGTTGTAGTTAAATTCATTTGACACTTTCATTTTTCTGTTTTAAACTATAAAAGGATGTTTTTATTATACTTTTTATTCATTCATTTGATTTTTCGAAAAAGATCTTTTTGTTTTAATTAAAAATAAAATAAGATAATCTTCACGTTTATATTTTTATATGTAATCCTAATCGATAGATTCATAATGAAATCGTCGTTTATGAGATTGTTCTTTATGCTGCATCATCATATGATGACCACCTTGTAAATTTTCACCAGGTGCTGGACCATTAGGAGGTGGTGGAATATGAAATGCTTCTTCAGGAATTTTGTCAACATTCAAATGCTGCAATTATTTTTCGATGATATGAGTAAGCTTTTAAAAAAAACATATATATATATATTCATACTCGATCACGTCCGAAATAATATCGAGGAGGTCCAGAACTACTACAAACATCTTCATTTAATAATTGATCACCATCAACCCAATACATCATATAAAAGTTACACATTTCATCGTTACCAGTTGGACTACAAACAGATAATATAGCTATCTTTCTTAAGTATTAAAGAAAAAGAATAAAACTGATACCCAATTCTGACAATATGTGAATTAGTATTGAGCATAGTACAAGCAGCTGCAACATAATCACCCTGTTGAATAGCTACGTCCTTTTCAATTGGATAGAACATTTGTGGTAATTGTGGTGAACGTCGACCTATTTCAGTCCATTCTTGATCATCATTTTTACCACGCACACGATAACCAGAATTAACAAGACCTAAATTTGCGTTCTTATATTCACATTAAGCGTGAATCTCAAAATGTTTATTTACCTAATTTGTGTGCATGAGTTCGGAAAGCAAACGGATGCATTATAATATCTTGTTGAATTTTACAAGCAACTTCAAATAATTCTAGACAATCAAAGAAAAGTTATCAAAAATTTGTGTTTTAAGTTTTATCTTCAGCACATGTGCGAACGTATCGTTTTACGGTGAATGTCCTTTCAGTATTCATTTAAATTCGACTGTTGATTAAAAGCAAAAAAGATATCGGCACGTTTATATGATACAATAAGCAAGTGTAAGTACAAGCAACAAACAATCAATATACGAAAAGATTAATGGTGTTCAATTAAATTACCAAGTGAGTGAGGTGCCATTTCCCCATCGGTTGATAATAGCAAGACACCAGCAGTTTTAGGTGTTCTATTTAGTAGTTCAACAGGTTTAAAGAAATAATGATACAAGTCTTCCCCAGCAGAATTAGTCAGAAGCATAAAAAAGGAATTACTTACGGAAGAGATGATGTTGTTAGAACTAAACCTGAACGATCAGTTTTACCAGCTTGGAAAAAGTACAGTTGCTTTAAAAATCGTTTTCAATTTCATATGTTACCTATGAACTTATCAATGTTTGCATAATGAACTTGTAATACAAGATATTTTATTGAAGTTGAACCGCCAACTTTGAAAGCGACATCTACACAATTACATTTTATATATTAATTAGTTTTACCAAATTTTCTTTTTTGATTCGATTTTGTACCTTTTGGCAATTCAGTTTTTTCAGCATCCATTGCCCAAGCATAGATAATCGTCGAACCCGAAGCACATGTTGGTCCTGTTTCATATTTCATTTCAGAAGATTCATCTGAATTAGCCATTTCACCACAGTTCCTAAAACAAAAAATATAATATTTCACAATATTCAATGATAGTACAACATTCCATCGCACCAAATATTTTCTTTACTTCCTGGTTCTGTACATCCAAAAAGTAAAACATGATGAGCATCTTTTGATGTAGCCGCTGGATTAAATGCAGCTAAGACAAATACAATAAACAATTGAATTACAAGTGTTTTTCTTCGTTTTCAGTATTTATTACTTATATATGTTGCTTTTTCTTTATCCATTTCAAATGACGCACATAAATAATCATCAATCTATTTAAGTAATATGATATTTGATTACTCGATGAAATTTTATACATACATGACTAGCAACAACATCGGGCATAAGAATATTCAAACTATTGGATGTCTCATATGATGTTGTCAATAGTAATAATGATGAGAAACCGAAAAAAATCGAAAGCAATTTATACAGAACCATTTCGAAACCTACGATAAAGAAAATTAGGGCTAGCGAATAAATACAGTTTTTTTTTTAAAAATAAAACACCGCCATCAATATGATACTTCCACCACTAGCAGGAGCTTATAGACCGATTTTTTTTCTCTCGTTCTTCTTCTATTCGACACAGTTCCAACCTCATTATATCTCATTCTACTGTAGTTGTCGTTATAAACAAAAATATGCGGCAAGAAGAACAGTAAAAATACGTTTCAATGAAAAAGGAAACAAATATTGATTATTCAAAAGGAAGAAATTATAAGAAGATCAACGTATTTCGAACAATGTGTTTATATTTTACATAAATAAAGAACACAGTAGTATTATGTATTACTATGTAAACTATCCAATAGTGGATTCGTTCATGACCTATGGCCATGATTTCAGGTTGTTCACGATATTTTTTATGCATTTTCAAATAAAAAATGCTAGACTGACATTCATTTATTTGTTTCAATTCATTGATATCTTAATACTGGGTGACATTTGACATTGTTTGCAATCACTTCAAGTTTTTAAGTCACCTATCAGCATAAAAAAAATACATCGCTATAGCTATCCATACTACTGGCTTATCAGAAACTGTTACGAACGGATCGGAATGGTTTTTTTCTGTTTTTGATAGAAAAAGCTCTTTCAAACTTTTGATTGGCAACATCTTTGAAGAATCCATAATGAATTTCTTCGTTACGCTAGCATATTACGATTATTTTAATTATAGAATACAAAAACAGTAAAAATTTTCAACGAAAACTACCAACACGAATCAATTCGTTGGGTCGCACGATTTCGATATTTGCAATAGTTATAAGTATATTCACTATGCATTCAATAGAAATAAACTGGTTGTCTTTATTCATAAGTATGAATAACCAAGTTGATATTAATTGAAAAAAATAGAGTATCCCTAACAACTATATGTGTACAATGTTGCCATCAGTTTTTCCTTACAAAATGCTTTTTCAAAACACGAACTAGCCTATAACAACTATATAATAGTTTTCAACATAAAGAATGGCCAAAGCTGATGAATTAATGCAGTCGTTTTGCTAAGATTGATTTGAAAATCGTATATTCTACTATAAAATTATGAATTTATTCACATCCAGTTAGAAATAGATCCGAAATAAATAATCGTAGCCTAAGATTTTTGATCAAGTCCTATAACTTTAGCCTAAATGCAGAATATTCCAATGTTAGACTTGTGTCTTACTAGATGTTTTCAGTTGCAGTGATGGTTTCAAAAATAAAATTCATTTTTCATGCTGAACCTATCAAAAGTCTTATGATAACGAAGCGAAAAATGACTTTCTGTCATAATCTATATGTTTGAATCTGTTGTGTACTATATTACATCACATTGGATGGCTATTATTCTCTTTGTTAAATCTTTAATTAGATACGAAAATAATCATTTATTTTCGTAATGTTTCAAATTTCGATTTACACATGAATCGGACTCGATTTTTTATGCCTGGTCACAAACTACTCAGATGAATTGCGAATGATCTGTTGTTCTAATATTAATTTAGCAATAAAATTTTTTGCGTTTATATAATACCTAGTGACATATTTCGTTGACAAGAAGTATGTTTTAATCGAGTAGAATCATCGAAAAAAACTGATTCGAATATTTTGCCATTCACCTAATGACGATATATATATACGTGCATTGCGTATAAGTTCGTTCTATTTTTATTCTGTTCCTGTCATATTATGAAATTAACGAGATAAATTCTGTCTCGTTCCAACCATGAGAACTATTAACATAATTAATTAAAATGAAAGATTTCACTAGGTGTGTCATGTTAGCATTACTGTCAGTATTAAATAATACTAATAGTTACTTAACTAACAATCCTCGATATTTTTTCTATTTGTTTTCTTTAAAAGTAGATGAAGAGTGAAATAATTTAATTTAAATAGACTAAAATTTCACTGATTCAATTTTGATTGTTTATTGATGTAGCAGTTTAAGCACATCGTTTCTAGCCTTTTCTACCGAAATAAATCCACTGATACCTAAACACCAACTGATTATTCACCATGTTCTTCTACTGTTTATTTGTGAGTTTCTAAACTATTTAATCTGACTTTATACCTGTACTTATTCTCATAATCTTGATAACATGTTCTATGAAAAATACTATCGATAGGTTAACAATAGTATCTAATAATTTCTTTACGTATCATTATGGTGCACACAGAAAGATAATTATTTCTGAGAGAATTTAATATTTGTTAAATTTCTACTTGATAGTGCTTAGTTAAGGAAAATTCTGGGCTAAATATCGAGAAATTTTCAAAGCATAGGCGATGATTAAAGTTTTTTTTATGAAGGCTATAAAAAATTTGATATGATTTATAAAAATCTAAATTATTAACTAAGTAAAACTGTCATAGATAAGAAAAAAACAACATGTAATTTTCAAATTTCGATGTAGTTTATTTTATATTACTTAAATATTCTTTTTAATTGTTTGTATTGTAAGTAGTAAAAAATAAACGAAAATTAAAAACAAAAACAAAAATTTTTCGAAGAACTCAAAGAATATCAACAGGTGTTGATTTAATTAGGATGGTTTTTTCTATTGTTTAATTATATATTTACCGTCGTATAAGATTCAATCTCATCGGAAACTAATATCTAAATGAAGTGCAATAATATAACATTCGATGAGTTTAGTGGGACAACATTATTGTTATATTTTCCTCCGTTGTATTTAAATTCAACAGATAAGCGAAATAACAAATATTTTCAATTATGTACAATTCACATCAACTTTGTATACATATTTATTACTTAATATATCCATTAGCAATATATATTATTATGTAGGAATGAAAATGCTTGAGTACTTTACTGATTTTATTCGAGCAGTGATCTTAAAAATAAAATAGTCCTTTTTTAAAACTCAAAATTTGTCAAAGTTGAAGCTAAACTCGGATTTCAAATATTGATGTAGGTTTCTGCTTAGAATTTGATGGCATAATCATTGATGAGCAAACCCATAATAATTTTTTCTCTGTATGGAACGTTAATGTTAAAATAAAAGCGTAAAATATTATATAAAATCGTTCGTATCATAAAAAAAAGTTAATATTTAGGAGGTTCTGTATTGGAAGACAAGGCTGCATCATAAGATGGAGGAGCGTCTTCTCTGATATTATGAACAGAGGCAATGTTTCGTGAGTGTGATGGCGCATTATTTCCCGTTGCATATACTTGAACTCGTATATGTCCTGGATTTTGTGTTACCGTTGTTACTGTGCGTTGCGTATTATTTGAATTTAATTGCACACAGCATCGAATACAAATGGATAGTACAAGGACACCTGAAGAAATAATTGCAACAATTGCATAGGTTGGTAAACCACGGCAATCACCATAGTATGAGCCACATGTCTGGCCAGCTAAAGAAAAATTGAACAGATATGGGATCTTTTATCTAATGAAAATGAACTTACAAGAACAATAATAATATCCCATACTATCATAACACCATTCTGCTGAAACTCCTTTCATTAATGATAATACGATGAATACTACGAGACTGATGGAGCGAAACATCTTTAACAGATTTTAGTTTTAAATCCAAACAAATGTATGTTTCTCTACAACATAGGACGAAAAAATAGTGACAACAATAAATGCATAGATATAGTGTGATGTTATTTGATAAAATGAAGACAAAATGGTCTTTGCTTTTGTCATCTATGTGAAAAATGAAGGTAGTAAAAAATGTGACTCGTATTCTACCGAACGATGCCTTATCTGATAAGTTTGCTTACATTTATTAGTCACTTAATAATTTCTCATATGTGACGTGAAAAGGAAGTTTAGAGCACAATTAAAATATTTGCCATCTTTTGCATCTTTTATTATTATTTTGAAATGAAATTAGAATATGCATTTCAAAAGTATTTTAGAAAGACACAAAAAAATAAAAACGAAGTTCCGATCGGATGAATTTGAACGCTACAAAGATGAAAAAGAATAACTTTCTACGTAGTGAGAATATATTGCACCACAAGAATATTCATTGTTTAGCCTTCTTCTATTAGCATATTCAGTTAGTAAACATCGTTAAACTTGTCTGAACATAATTTATATACATATACTCGTGCACTGTTATTAGAAATGTATAACTTAGACACAACATAACTGATCAATACGAAATTTCTATCTTTCGTATTGATCAGTATATTCAATTTTAAGTCAGACTAATCGAAAATTACAATCAACTACACGATATATGTTCTGTCTAATAAATATTATTGCTATTATGCAAACTCAAACAAAGCAAAAATGAAATTTTACGTAGAGAATGACAGTGCAACATGCTCATATATAAGAATCATTATCTTCAGAAATATTAGCATAGATATCATTGGTTATTTTCAATGCAAAACTCCTTTCACATGTTTCGTTAGGTGCAATGTTATCTCTCATAAGAACACTTCCCTTTGACAGTTGAATATAGTTTCATAAGGAATCTAGAAGAAATTAATATTCATATACTCATAAAGCAAACGAATAGATATTTTCTATTTCAACATTCATAGTTTTCTTCTAATGATTATTTTTTAGATTTTTGAAAATCTGCGATGACAGAATGAAAACTATGATTCATATTTGTTTATATCATAACACGGTTTAAAAAGAAAAATGATAGTTTTGTAGAATTTGTAATTAAAAACAAAAAAGGAAAAATTTTGATTTTCTAAGAACATTGATAAATCATGATCGGATTGCGTAAGAACTCTGTTGATTATTACCTTAGTCGATGTCCGAACAAAGCCAACGCTTACTTACCGTTCTCTGATCGATGAACACCGTTGTAATAGTTGGTCATGTAGAGCCGATGTAAACTAATCAATATAGAATAGTGTACATAGTGAAATTTTATCTTTTAATTTCGCGAAATATATACTCGCTTTTTTATGAAAATATCTTACTTCACTGGTGAAATATTACAATGATTTCGAAAGAGTCTATATTTTTCGATCTCTTGATGCGAACACTAACACCAATCACAATCTGATTTTCCTCATCGTGATGTTTAACATAGAGTGCTGAATGGATTCAGAATACATGCAAAACTAACCTCGAAAAAATACCTCCATTTCGAAAACTATTTCATATCTTTGAGACAACAATAACTAAATAAAAAGTATACTTTTAAACATTTTTTATTTATTTATTTTTAATAAGAATAGTCTGATTCTATCAAGAGTTTCATTGATGAGACTAATCAGTTAATTTCTCTTTTTCATAAACTTATTTATGGATGCTCTTGAACACAAAGGCGAAGAAATATTTCATCTTGCTACTAGCTGTTGTTGCATTTTTATCAGCTAGCCAATAGAACTACGAAACTTACGAATATTTTTGTTTTTTGTTTTTGACAAACTACTCAACTATGATCATTTCTATTTTTCATTCATAAGCAAATTGAGGTTAAAAATCGTCCCGAAACTATTTTGATGACAACAAAATATCGATCAAGTCTACTGCTTAATTTCATTTCATGATCATCTCAGTGAGAGATCATTAATAATATTGATGTTTTTGCCCTATACTCAAATTGGCTGTATTGAGAACGTTTCTCGACATGTGATGTTGTATTTTTAGAGTAGGGAAACGTTGGCTTACGATCGGTGTCTATTAACAACGGGTAATTTATTGATCACAGAAAATTTGTGATGAAATATATCAAACATAAATAAAAATAATATCAATCAGTTCATCTTGCTATGAAATAGCGCAAGCAATCAAATGTACTCGGTCCTCTTGTCGACGTCGTTTCGGACCAAATCGATATGTGCACCTTTCGATAGGTTTAAAATAAAAACTCTACATTCATATAGGTTTATAAATCATGATTCTTTTTTATTACTAATCGTGATCGATTACTGTTAATGATTGATAGAACCATCATTAAGCCATGTTGGACCTGATAAGTTTCATAAAATTGATTGTTGAGATCGAGATTTAATGATGACTACTTGAAAAAAAACTCTATTTTCTAATGCTTTTGATGAAAGTGCTAAACCAAGTAGAAAAATCAATCGATCTTCATCGTCGAACATATTGCTCTCATTGGAATAATTGCAATACCGATTACTATCATTACCATTGTAAGTAATAACGAAACGTACTCAATCTGATTAGAACATTATCTGTATAGTCACATGATGATGCTAGTGTAGAAAATGTCAAAAACCTTTTCTCTCAGTTTTTTTCAAATAGTTTCCTCATTGTTTGTAACAGCCTTGTTGACGAAATTATTTATTTATGAAAATAACAAACGTTGAAGCTACAAACAATTGAAAGCCGAATTCAGTGAGAAAAATAATAATGAATAAACACTGATATCTATTGCAAATAGAGAGAAGGTACACATACATTATCTGTGAATTTAACTCTACAATCTGTCGATGACTCATATAGATTTGTTTTATGCTTTATTCAAGATCAGAGCGAACAATGTTATTTGCAAGAGTCGTATGCCAATATCTGACGTTCTGAAAGAAAATTATTGCCTGTTGACTACACACGAGATCAATGTCAGTTCTCAACAAATAAAATTCATTGGATTTTATTTAATGACTGCTCTAATCGTAAACGAAATTTTTATCTTCTAAGTAACAAAACAGAGCGCTAAATTGAAATCCAATTGAACATCTTTTGCTTACGTTAATAGAATAGACTTCTGGTAGTCGCTCATTAAAATGATTTTTATTTGTATTGAATAAGCACATAAAAGTTTTAAGCTAGTTGTTTGTCTACACAAACTCTCATGATGTTTCAACAAGTAGCGTGGCTATTCACGTTATTTCAATCTTCAAATTGGCATTTAAGTGATTGTATATGACTCCAAATTGATTTGGTATGTTTGAATTCGTGAAGAGAAAACTATCAACTAGCCACATGTTACTTTCCCAGTATAAATACAAGTGGAGCCATAGATTATTGTCATTTTACATTTCGTATTTTAATTAGATACTGTGCAAAAACGTTTTCTATAGCAAAAATGATCTCCCAGAATGTTTTACCGATGAAAAAGTGTGTGCTCCTGTGACAAGAAAATACTTCTACAGATGTTAGAACTAATTTAATTCGAAATAGATCTAACCGATGCTCTTTTGATTACTTCATAGAGAGACATCATTGTTAAATAGTATGGTACAATAGTACAAGCTCGAGGTAAAGATCCTGAGAAGCAACCTCTGAAACCACGTTCATCAATTAGAAGTTGAAATGTTCTCCAAAGTGATTGTCGTTTTGCAGCTACTTGAAGACGAGTTTTAAGTACATCAATAGGTTGAGTTAAAAGTGATGTTAAGAGAGACGCGATTATAGCTGAAAGAGGAGCTACGAGTTGATTATGTTGATAGGGAATGATTCTTTCAAGCTTTGCTTGAACTTGCCAATACATTGTCCAAATAATTGAATTAAATGGGATCGACATAGAAAGTGATACCATATAACCCTTATAAAAACCACAAAATCCATCGCCTGACCGATAATAAATATCACGAATAATATTGCTAACATGGACGCCATCGCGACTTTTAGTAATCATAATGCGTTGTGCTGTTACATCAAGAGGTACTGAAACAGATATCTATTTGTTTTTCTTTATTGTTTGAATTATTTTAATAGATAAAAATGATTTACCAGTTAAAGATTGATAAATCAACGCCGCTATACAGCCAGACAATGTACCAGTTATAATATCCCACTGAGCAGAAGAGATCTGATTAGGTCGATTATTTTTTAGTACTGTTCTCATTTGTTCTAGTATTCCTGTGAAAACAGGTTCGAAAATAAGACTTGACAGACTAAGTGGAAAGCCGCGATAGAAACCGCGTACTGGTCCTTCTCTGTACCATATTTGTTTAATCATATGCGCTGTTGATATGCTACCATTGGTACCGGTTTGAAGACGAACCTTAATAAGACCTAATGGATGAAAACATGTTCGTACTACTAGCGAACTAGCAGTGAGCAGGCTTAGAAATTTTCCCTTGTTCAAATCGTCCCAATACAGTTCATGACTATTTCGCTCACGTATTCTAAAACAGAAAACTTTGTTTTTTTAATCACTATATAACGAGAACGAGACAATTAGTCATACCCATGTTTATCTGATGTCACATTGATATTATTCATATTTTCATTTGTTTCTTCTAATTAATTTACAGGTCTAGCATAATACTTGCTTGCTTTCCGTTTTTAGAGTGCAAAGAATTTATCATTCGTTTTAAAACCCACCACCTAGTCATTAAAAGATAAAAGATGTCGCCGATATTTGCTGTTATACAGGCCGAGATTAATGCAGTTCACATATCGCCATGTTGGTATATAGAGAGCGAAAGCTGAATCGGCTTATAGAGTCTTTCTATAATTTTTTCGTATATAATGGTTTACGACTGTGCTCGTCTGACTTCGGTATATACGAACATATAATGCACAATGCGAGATTTTTACCGTAAACTATCTCGATATGTATCTATAAATAATTATGTTATTTGCGACTCGATAGATATTAAAGTAATACTTTTTCTTCATTTGGTTGATAGATAAGCTTTTCCTGATTGACGAGCATCTCTACGCTACATCTGTACTGGTGTACAGAGTGATGTGATTATCAATTCAATTGATTGGTCTTGTCCAGTCTAATGATGAAGAGAACATTTGTTTTCGAATGAATTTATTTCTATTGAAAGTATCATTTGAAATGCCATGAAGTTTTCGTTAGTCAATGATATGTCCAATCAGACACTGGAAATCGAATTGAATCAGAAGCTGAATGTAATTGATTCAATTGATTAAAGTTTATATACGTACAGTAATTTGTTCTTAAAAAATCGATGACACAATTGATTATGTACATATTCTTGATCTTACTAGTAAAATATCATCAAGTGTAAAAATCTATTATTCTGTTTACCATTGCATGAATCAATGTTGTAGCTTCAGAAAAATGACAAGAAAAGTAGACTATTCATCTGATTAAATAAGCCACATATTCGGCATACACGCTACTTATGCTGCATAGCATTCTTCTCAAAGCATTCTTAGTTCATTTTGTATTTAAATTCTAAAACATTTTCGATTAAAGGGATGTCATGGTATTGTTGATAAAACTATTAGCTAATCTTTTTTGTAACAATACAAGAGACACTTTCAAACGCGTTCTCAAAGATATGCTACACATACTTCAGAATTTTCAAACGTATGCTTTGATATTACCCGTAGGATTCAACTTCATTGATGAATTCCTTTGAAAAAGAACTAGAATGGAAACGTTCATTCGTTCGTTTTATTGTTATCATCATACGTTACTAGATATCCAATAATCATGATATCAAGCTTCAGAACTCTCTATTCTAGTTTTCTACCTCGCTTTTTCGTGGACTCAATTCTAATTACATTCGATCGATTGTGAATTTGCATAGTGGTCTCATCAAAAGTAATGTTCATATAAGGTAAACGTTAATCTCTTAAATAAAAGCATGGAACTAAAGAGAACCATACATTATAGGAAATATTTTGTGTGAAGTAACCGTGGAGAAGACTCGTCTTTCAGTTCAAATTTTGTTATGACTTAGTTTAATGTCTACAAACTACTATATTTATGCTGGCCAATGCAATGAAAATGACGAGAACCAGACATGATACGAAGAATGAGAAATTGAAATCAACTTTCTTTATTTAAGAATAAAACAAACAGAGCTTAATATTGCTTCTATTTTCTGCTCACTTTAAATCAAAATCTTTTGAAAATTTTCTATAAATGAAAATATCCCTTACTCTTAATTACTATATTTTCAGAACAATCCAAGATCTATCTAGAGACTTAACGTATAAAAATAAAACATTTCAGAATATGAAAGTTTGCAATTCAGATTTGATAAAACTTAATAGTACTTTTCATCGTCATGCGTACGATTCAGTAAAACTAAGATATGCATGAAGATAATAGTCTCTCTTAATCAATACCAACAGCAATGCTCACTTTCTTAATTTTAATAGTAATATGTACAGAGTAATATTATGAAATATTTCGTTTTACTTCTTGTGTTTCGGCTTCATGTACGACTAATTAATTTTTCATCGTCTGTTAGTGCACTTATTTGTCATAAATATCAGATGTTTATTTTGTAAAGCAAGAAATAAACAGCTTCGGCAAAAGTCTGCTGGAAAAAACAACTAATAGTTTATGATGAAATCAAATTTTGTAATGTCTTTTCAACAAATGGAAGAAGATCAGGCATCGATTCTTTATATTTTTGTAAAATTTGTTCCTTAATTATTTTATTGCTATTTTCATTTGCACTTCGTGATTTCATATTTGCCGACGTTAATAAAATTCCATACAACGCTCGCATATTATTTGGATTAAATTTAATTGTACTAAAATAATAGGCTCGTGCAAATTCATATTTATCGTAGGAATAACAAATTGATGCATAACGTTCATGATTTAAATGATTGTGTGGATTGATCAGTATGAGTTCTTCAGCACAAAATGCAGCTTTTGCATAATCATGTTCCAATAAATAAAGTTCGCATAATTCACCCCATGCTTCTTGATCAACCTTAAATCACAGAGAAGAAGAAAAAGAAACTAAAATTGAAACTTTATTATAATTTACTTGATAAAGTTCTAAATATGTATTTAATTCATTGATTGCATCGCGTATTTTATTTTGTTCTTTTAAAAGACATATTTTTCTTTTATGTATAGTTGCATCTGTTTCATTATCCTTTAATAATGTTGAATAAACTTGTTCAGCTTTTTCGTAGTCACCTATCGATTCATCATACATTGCGTTTAATACAGATACACGATGACTTGTCGATTTAAATTCTTTTTTTAATTGCTCAAGACATTCAAAGGCAATCGATTGTTGAGAACAATGCAATGCACACTTAAATACTTGTTCAAGTACTAACCATTTTTCATCGCCCAATGATGAGAGATTGTGTTTTGATAAGACTGTTTTCCATAATTCAATCACTTCATCGTGAGAACGATAATTCTCTTCGCGATATTTACGAAGCTTTTCTATGGCTGATTGCATAGTATTTTAAAATTAAAATAAATAAAAAGTTGATATTCATCATGAATTGTTATTTTATTTATTTAATTAAACGTTCACAAGAGGTTTATTGGTGAATAAAGGTAACTTATCCGATGTCAGCAGGAACCTGTACACAATCGATAGAGAGAGACATCTATCTTAACTCAAAAAAATGTTTCACATATTGATAAGTAATATGAGAAGAATATCTATACTTTCTATGGAGAATCATTTCGAAGTGAGACATTCGATACAATGAATTATATGTGAAAACGTCTGAAATCCTAATCGGTTCAATATGAGATTAGGTAAATAATAGCTCTTACCTTGAGATATTGTTCTTTTAATTTCAATGAAAAACAATCCATCAATTTCGTCAAGTTTATTAGATATAGCAAAACAATTTTCATCGAACAAATTCTTTATGGTTACAATCGAATGAGTTGCATTTGATTCAAAGTTGTAATCCACAGTTATGAAGACAATACTTTATTCGATCTGCTTTACATATCGATAGAATAGAATTCTGATTGAAAAAAAATATATGAACAATTTCATAAGAGCAAAATTGTATCTTTTTCATTTACTGATTCACGAGTACGTGTGGATGTATGTCTTCTCATTACCATAGCATTTTTTTACAGATTTAGAAATAGTTATTTTTCGATTTACTAATATTAATAGTCGTTAAAGCTTATCTCAATGTTTGCTTTTAGAGTTATACGGATTGTTATTTTTTTTTAATTCTATTATATTAATGAGATTTCACTTGGCAATTACAAGAAACATAAGTAACGCATCACTCTTTTCCAATAATTTTTCACTTACAATGGAGGTGTTGGTACTGTTCATCACGAAAACCGCTCATATTGGTATCAAATGAAAGGTCTCATTGCCAAACTAACAGGGTTAAAATATTAGCGGCCCATAGCTTGCCTAAAGGGAGATATTCGATTTTTCAGTGAATTTTCTCTGCAGGACCCGCTTTCCCAGCAAAGTCATATTCTCGAATTTGAACCTGAAACTTTGCATGCTTGAAGGTCTCAATGAGACTAGTTTACCAAAAAAGATTCAAAAGTTTTGGAAAAACTATATACGAGATCTGAATCTCTCAAAATATTGGCGATTTTCTATAGAAGTTGTACATTTTGAGAAATTCAGATCTCGTATATAGTTTTTCCAAAACTTTTGAATCTTTTTTGGTAAACTAGTCTCATTGAGACCTTCAAGCATGCAAAGTTTCAGGTTCAAATTCGAGAATATGACTTTGCTGGGAAAGCGGGTCCTGCAGAGAAAATTCACTGAAAAATCGAATATCTCCCTTTAGGCAAGCCATGGGCCACTTATATTTTAACCCTGTTAGTTTGGCAATGAGACCTTTCATTTGATACCAATATGAGCGGTTTTCGTGATGAACAGTACCAACACCTCCATTGTAAGTACAATTAAAATGTCTTACGTTAGGAAATGAGTTACTCAGTTAAATAACTGTATCGCTTCGAAACGTTCAACTAGCTCTGAATATATTCGGACAACAGTGCAAAGTTTGGAAATGTAGTCAATTACAAAAGAATCGTTCTTTTAAAATCGTATCCGTGTCGTACAACTACTAGAAGAGACACTAAACAGAAAACAGTAAATCGATTGTCTTATGTAGCCTTCAGAGAATATCTAGTAGTATATCAGCAAGTTTTCTTTTTTTCTTCCACGCTCCCTTAAAATTAGGGCTACCTAAGAACTCGTTAGAAGATTTTTAGATAGTTCAATACGAAAATATGAATATACTCACCATAGTCAATAGTATCACTTCAAAACTGTGAACTTCGCTTTCAAATTTCAGTTATCCAATTGAATAATGTCTATGAGACAAGATATATTGATAAGTATAGAAATTCCTAAAGGTATTCATCTGTTCCATAATTACAAATAATTATAATTATGAAAGAAGTTACAATTAAACTAGAAATAAATACTATAATAATTGAACTGAAGAGAACTAGTCTCATAATGAATATTCTGTAATATCCATATAACGAACCGTGAATAAACAAAAGATTGTTTTTCTCATGTCGTCGATTAACAATCAAATCATTTTATTTTATATAAATTTTACCAAAACACAAAGAAACAACGTTTTGTTTTCTAAAAGAGTGTATCATACTGTTGATCTTGTTTATTTTGTTGAACATATAAATTTGTTAATGTTTGAAGTTTTCGATGAATAATCGCTTGTTTCACTTGACTTTTATTCATAGCATCTTTTAACGAATCAATTTGTTCTTCGAGTTGATGTTGGTTAGCAAGCATTCGTGTTTGAATCAGTAAATGAAATTGACGCCATTGTTTCTCGAAGTCACTTAAAGTTATTGATGAATTTGGAGTTGATACTGTTTCAGGTTGATTTGATTGTGATGATAATGAAAGACTCTGGAAAAGTATACTATAGATTTTATGATGACCTAAACGTCTTGCTAATTCAATGGGCAATTCATGACGACTATTTCGAATATTTAATGATGCATCAGCATGTATCAATATAGCCGTACAACCTAAAAGCAAGAATTTCAATGAGTTATTTCGAACTTTCTTGGTCTTAATAAACCTGCATGTTTATATCGAATAGCGGAATGTAATGGAGTATCACCATCTCGGTTGATTGGATTCAAATTTGCACCAGCATAAATAAGTAAACGACAACATTCATTGTGACCAAATTTACAAGACATGTGCAATGGCGTGTTGTTATCATAATCAACATGCTCAACGTGAGTTTCATATTTGAGAAGTAATGTTAATATTTGACTGTAACCGTATGCAGCTGCAACATGAAGACATGTTTTTCCATCTCGATCATGCAATGAAGTATTAACTCCTTCTTTGAGTAGTCGTCGTACAACTTCGGTATGACCAAGATATGTTGCTGTGTGAAGTAAAGATCGTCCATTTAATGGATCAATTGAACTAATTGAATAGCCAGCTTGAACTAGAATACGAAGAGTATTTTGATCGTTGGCTTGTACAGCGGCAAGTACGGGGTCGCCTTTTGCATCGTCTATGGATGACAATGGTTGAAGAATCGATTTTAGTTGTGAATCGAATGTTGTCGACATTATTCAATGTGATGCATTATATAAGAATGATTTCTTTTTTTCGTTAGAGTTTTTTTGTCATCATTATTAAGTGAAAAGAAAAAGAAGAGAAGATTGAAAAAGAACGCAATACATTTGTCAATGTTACTTTTCAAGTAATGTCACTAGTATAAAAGAAAAAAGGCGAAGAATAGATTTTTGAAAAAAATCAACGCGTTTATCAAACATATTCCAAATTCTTTCATACTTCTAATGATAAGTATAACACCATTAAAATTCATTGTCATAATTATAATCATGTTAGTAATTGGATATCGTCTGAGAAGATGGAAAATCTATCATTTCTCCACGTTTCATTTTTAAAATACATGAGACACGCATGATGCAAATTTTGCGCTGTTCTGTATGTTTATTATTCTTATTGTTATATTTTCCTTCTTGGACGAATGTAAAAGAAAACATTTCGAAAATAGAACTCTCACGAAAAGTTTATTGCTGCCGGATAATTTGGATAAAAAGCATGGTAACCATGATATTTTATATTCTGTCAATCAAATATGAAAACTAATCCTGTAAAAAGATGCAGGTTTTCATTGTCTACATAATCATATTTTGTTTATATTTACCCTTAATTTCTTTGTTAGCTTATCCAAGGTCAAACATTTGGTGTTACATTTGTTTGGCCTTGAATGATTTAAGAAAGAAATTAACAGTAAATATCAGCAAGGTATCCTTTTTCTGAAAGCATGAAAACCTGCACGTCCCTATGTGATTCGTTGTCATATTGAATTTCCGAAAGATAAAAAATTCAGATTATCATGCTTATCTGAAATTAGTAGACATCTGGTGTTATTTTCATTTTTTAAATTTGTTTCGATTCTACAAAAATAAATGAATTCATGAATCTGTTCATAATCAATCTTTCTAACCTGTTGAAGCTGAAATATGAAGAGATGATAAGAAGTTAGTAAATATTTATTCATTCAAGAGAGTACAAATTCGTTTGACTTGCTTGAAATGTCAATTCAATTCCAATTTTGTCTCTAAAGATGACTATAAGATATTTGTATTACTGCTGATGACTGTATCGATAACATTTGACAAATTGTGAGTCAGAAATAAACATTATAAAGTCACTATCTGTCGCAAAAAAAATGCACCATTCAGAACATCTAAACCTCTGATGTTTTGTGAGATTGAAACCATTCATAGATAAAATTTATTGAACATATTACAGGTCTAAAATGATAATCATAGGAGTAAATTTAATTCTAACATATTTACATATTACCATAAGATTAGTATACATGTCAAAAAAAAATCCTCTGCTCATGAAACTGGATTTTGATCTCATCATAAACCAAATTTAAGTTAACATTACTCCAGCTAGACAAAACTCTGATGCGAATCCGATAAAAAATATTTTGTGAAGTAGCATTTTCAATTTAACGAACAATGAAATATCAATTCAGAATAATATAAAATTTATTTTCATCAATTGAAGATACACAAATGTTACTCAATTTAATTTGACTTGAAATATAAAAGCAGCTAGTAAATAACAATACAAGATGAATAGAGGATGCTGGTGTTTTTTTTATTATCTCTATCGTATTTTCACTGTATAACAGATACGAAGAACATCTTATCCGAAATGTTGTTTATTCACTTTTCTATATTTCATTTAAACAAGTGACGAGGGGAATATAATATAGAAGTGTACTTTTATTATTCCATATCGTTCGGCTCAGCCAGCTGTTTTATAAACATCGAATAGAATCCTTGTAATATAAACGATGAAGATCGTTATAGTTGTATGTTTAAATCCATCAGAACGAATAAAAAAATGCACTGAATATTGAAATATATAATAGAACACATTCGAATTTCTTTTCAATTGATAAGAACTGTTATCAGAAGTGATCTAAAAACAGTCTCATAGTATCTATTACAAATATGTCACATCTATTGGACCAGATTCAATTGTATCGTCAATATTTCGAATGCATCTTCTATATACATATTCGGAGTATCCTTCATACTTCGATTGTATTCTCGATCACCCCATTGTATTGAGTAGATGTAGAACTCTCTGGTCCCCACGCAACAGCTATCGTATTAAAGAAGAAATGCATGAATTAATATATGCGTGGTAACTTTCGAAAGAAATAATCCAACTATGATGATTAGTGTTTTACGTTCGAGACAATCCATTTATGAATATTCTACAGAATAATTTATTTTCTGCATATTAATAGCTAGAATTATTGTAAATATTTTATGATAGAATAATAAAAAGCTTTGACTATGCATTGCTAATTCTACTGTGTTACTTTATTTTGTTTTATTTCATCATAATTGTTCAGAAAAAAAACATTTTTTTACTAAATCAATTCTTTTGTTATTTCACTTGAAATTTTCTCTCTGCTTCATGTTATTAGGTTGTTACATCAAAATGATGCATAGATAATAATCTTAATGAAATATTTGTTTAAACTATTTTCTGAACATTTAGAAGTTCTTTTTCTACATAGACATAAATAAGCGTTCACCTTACACACGTATGAGGCCTTCTTTTTGGGGCTCTATTTTTAAATATTTTGCGTTTTCTCAAAGAAAAAGCTAACTGTCGGCTGATTGCCGTCAATCGCAAAAAAACTCGATAAAAGCAAACGTAAAGCAATTTTTTTTACTAAAATTGCGGTAAATAGATTTTTTTTCTCTTCTTCGTATGAATGACTCTATCAAATATAATTATTCAACGATCGTAATTTTTATTCACCAAGTGTGCTTTTTATTTTAGTCAGGAATAACCACGTCGTTTCTTTTCACAACCATTTTCTGGTGTCGCTATTTTTTGTTTTCTCGTTAAAATAAAAGAAGAAAAATACCCAAGCCCGATCGTTTTTGTGTGTGCACTCTCGCATAAATATATATATTCATTGTTCCTATCGACTGCTTCCTTTTTTTATATTGTATTGCTGGTGAGAGCAAAATGCCAACAGAAAAAGTGATTGAACACATTATACAATGGCTTAAAGATTATCATCAAAATAGTCGAACAAAAGGATTTGTTGTCGGTGTATCAGGTGGTATTGATTCAGCTGTTGTATCAACATTATGTGCTCGAACAGGTGCGCCAGTACTTGTTTTAGAAATGCCAATTCGACAATCATCAAATGAAGTAGGACGAAGTCAAGCTCATATTAATTGGCTTAGATCAAGTTTTCCAAATGTTACTGGAACTGAAGTCAATTTAACAGAAATTTTTGAAGCATTTGAGAAAACAGTTAAAAAAACTGAAGTGAATGAAACAAATTCATCAGCCGAGCTTGCATTTGCCAATGTGAGATCACGTTTAAGAATGGTGAGATTCAATGTTTTTCTGACTAATTACTTATATATACTTATCTTTTTCTTTTCAGGTTAACTTATACTATTTTGCTTCAATTAAAAATTATCTCGTTGCTGGCACAGGAAATAAAGTTGAAGATTTTGGTGTTGGATTCTTTACAAAATATGGTTAGTGCATAGTTTTTACAAAGTTTCCTTTTGAAAACTTCAATTAGTTTTAAGGTGATGGTGGTGTTGATTTAAGTCCAATTGGCGATTTATTAAAATCAGAAGTACGAACTATCGCCACATTATTAGGTGTTTCAAATGAAATAGTAACAGCAGCACCCACAGATGGACTTTATGGTGATACTCGGACAGATGAAGATCAAATTGGAGCTAGTTATGATGAACTTGAATGGGCTATGAATTATGTTGATTCAGACAAATCAAAACACGAGAATACAAAATTAACTGATCGACAAGAAATAGTTTTGAATATTTACAAGCAACGACATGCAGCGAATTTACATAAAATGGTGGAAATTCCACGCTGTATGATTCCATTAGAATTAAAATCAGCATAAAATTACTGTTGAATGTATTGAATCGCGTGAGAAAATTATTCGTTCTCTAATTATAAAATTTATTTCAATTTAAAATTTCGTCTAAACTTGATTAATCTCACTTATTATTTTCTTAGTTTAACTCATAAAGATCATCAAAAATCTATAGTCAATATTGATTATTGTTATTTAATTTCTTTGTGTTTTTCTTAGAAAACCTCATTGCACATCCATTTCTTTTATGAACTCAGTTTTTTCATTTGTACTCAAATAAATTTCGTTCAATGAGTGATAAAAACTAAAGAATAAATCGAATAAAGCCGACCATTCGTGTTGTTTTGCTCGTTAGATATTTTTAAAAGTAGGTTTCAAAGTATAATGTTGACATTATTCTGACACTATTAGAACTGATTTGTCATCATTGATTTTCTATCAAACAAATCTTTATCTTGAATGGCAAATGTTTTTCTTTTCGACATAAAACTATTCAAATAAATAAAATACTGGTAATGATAGAACATCTTGTGAAGATTACAGTTGATCAGTTTAAAAACAAATATTCAGCAAACGGAACAATTTTATGATTGGTAAAAACATTAATATCAGCTTTGTGATTAGAACAGCTCATTTGATTAACATCATGATTCATGAACACATTGAAAAGTACGATCCCATGTTTTATTTTGATGTTTATAAAACTAAGTACATGCTTCACTTGAGCAAAGAAAAGCTTCTAGAGCCATGATCGATATTGTTATTAGAATCAATCAAATGTTATACTTCAGATAGGTTCTTGTTGGCTTTTGTGTATGTTATCAATTTTTCAGAAAAACGAAAACTTCAAAATTATTGAAGTAAAAAAGAAAAATAGTGTACTGAACTAATACTTACTATTATATTTAGTAGATATATTCATCAGAATGTAGATCATAGGAAAAAACAAAACGAAACGATGATCTACGAAATCATAAAACTAATGGAAGACATTTTTTCATATGATTATCACTGTAGTGTCTAGTCTCTTTATTGTGGAACCACAACGTATGACTGATGGTTTTAATTTGAAAATATACTGAAAGACTATATCATTCGGCAAAATATTATCAGCCATAGATGTATACTAACAAGCTGTTCATCTTTCTACGAACTTTTTTTATGATTCTACATATGTAAATAGACAAAAACTCACTGATGCAACCAGGTCATGTTCTTTTTTGAAGGGGAGAGAGGGTGTCAAAGTTTTTGAAATCTTATTTAATGAGATTCTTTTTGTTTGTGGTGGGAGCACAAGGAGTCGGTACGAACAAAAAGTGTACACTAATTGATTTACAAAAATGGTAGTTCAAAGACAAATATACATTCAAATAATCTTTCTCTGGTGTTCATAAAAACATTAATATTAAAAAGTTTTTCTGGAAAGAAGGGGAATGACGACACAATCGTCACTAATATTATCTTGGTGCTTGTCTGTTTCTTTTTCTAGTTTCTCTCTTTTTCACTTGCTTATTGTTGCACCTAATATTGTTAATTCAATATAATAATTATTCTTCCTTTTTTTTCTTCAAGTTCCCTCAAGTTTTTTCATATATCTCTCTTCTCTGAGATATACATTTTGCTCATCACTCGAGCGTACATCGATCTGTCGCTTCTATTTTTCTTCTCTATCAAAAAGATGATTCTTTTTGATTAATTACATATTACCTTCTTTCAACTCGATTGTTACTTACAATCACTCTAACTCGTGTTAGCTACTTGTTCGCCGAGTTCTTATTCTCATCTATTTCTTGTTCGTTGAGTAAACTGTTGAATCTTCATCCATATTTAATACCATTTAATTTTCATTGCCATCATTTTGTCATAACTAACTATTGTAGCACCTGGCATTTTTATTTGTTGCATCTCTGATTCTTATCAAGGCCTCATAGGGGGGGGGGGCTTTCCACATAATCTTCCCTTTGGGTTCGCCCCTGTAAAAAGCCCTTGTTGAAAT